TTCTTCTCCTTAAAGTAAATAGCAACATTCTTTCCTCTGGTATCTGTAAAACGTGATCACCTACAGCGAGCCTGTGCATAGTAAATGAGGACCATCCTTCATGTAATATACCCAGAAAAGCAATAAAATCTTGTCCAGGCAGGGGTCAGGGCCCTCTCTCTCTCTCTTTTAGAGAGTGGTAATGCCATCCCTTTTTCTCCATGGGACTTCTGTAGTCCGTGTGAATTTGTTTGTTGCAACCACAACACATGGACCCCGAAGGCCAGGGTCCACATCAACCAGGAAGCTACAGCTTCACACCCCAGGGGATTATAGCATTTCTCCACCAAGGGGATTAACACTCCTCCCTTCTCCCCTCTGGTAGTGGATTGTTGGGGGACGCAGAGGAAGGTGTTTACCCAAAAAGGCCTGTCAGTCTACCTAAGGGGTGGAAACTTATCAAAAGCCCATGAAAACTTGGGGAGTCAATTAGACGTTTTGAAAAAGCATGTAGACCATTAAAAACCCAAACTAATGTAATCCCAGGAGAACAAAGAAGCTCGCTCTCTCTCTCTTCCCCCCTCTCTCTCAGGAACCTGCACTTGCCCCGTGCATTTGCATGTCCTGTCTCATCTGGGAGCATGTGACCATGTGGATCTCACAGCTACTGAAACCTGTGGCAGACCTCATGGGCTCCAGAACTAAACTTTAATATGAAGCAGAAATTCTAGACTCTCCTTTGCTTTGACCTTGCTGAGGACACAGTTGGACTTCTTCCATGGCAGGACAGAGGGAGATGGGGAATTGGAACCCCAGGGGTAGACATCCATACTAGTAAGCCATCTTTTTGCCACAAAAAAAAGAGAATGGCCAGTGAATTAGGATAAAAAATAAGATAATTTGGGAAACTTGGAAAAGTTTTAATGTTTCATAAATGCAACCCTTACCTTATAATCAAAGATATCTGAAAGACAACTGGTTGTTTATCATGTCTAATTCCTCAGGCTCAAAAAAAATGAGATAGTCACTGTGTTTCTCCTGATGAAGATCGTATTGGAGTGTGATGACATATGGAAAATAAATGCAATTTGCATACAGAAATATAGTTTTTCTACATGTTAATAGGACTAAAATAGAAGGATAGTTAAGAACGAAGGCTATTATATTATGAGGTTATTCACAGAGACCTTTTCCAAAATTGATCAGACCAAAGTAAAAAGGAAATGTAATTAGCTATGGACAGGGTAGTAAAACATTTTAAAAATATACATGTGGGTACAGATGGATGGATAGACATACAGAATCACAAAGACACATACACACACACAAACACATGTACATATTTGTTAACAAGATGGTACAAACAAACAGGTTCATTTGGGTTTCCAGTAAGTGTTTCACATGAGTCAGTTTGACCTATTGTGAGGAAAGGGACAAATCTAACCTGAAGCGGGAGAAGGAAAAGCAATAGAATCGGCTCCCTCGATAGTTTCAATTCAGAGATCCACGAGTTTGATTGGAAGTAAAGAGAATGTAGAGGACAAATAGCCATAGGAGACAAATTGACCCAGCCAATATTAATACTGTCACTCCATTTTCTACCCCAAACACAGTAAGTCTGGCTCTGAGACAAGTGAGAAAATAACCTCATCCTGGAAATAGCTCTATAATTCATACTTTTAATAATACAATAGCACAATGTAAAACAATTCTTATTCCCAAAGGCCTACAAACACGTATTTTCCTTTCTCCAGTGGTTGTAGGACTACTCAACAGCTACTAGAAAATACTTTCTCCTCATCACTAAGGAAAAAATTCTGCAAGCACAGTTTCAGGACTTTGGAACTTCTGTATTTCACTGCCAATCACAGCAGTTAATTTTAGCAGGTCCTGGTATATTTAGTCATTATCTATAGTAATATTAATTATTTGAGAAAAAGTCTTTCAAATTCGGAATCAGGAGGCTTGGATCCTAGCTCCAGGTCTACCACAAGGGAAATGGGCCACCCCAAATATCTCATTTCAGTGTTACTAGAAGCGGCGTCATTTCTTCCTGGGTTAATTACTTAGAAAAGAATTGTCAGTTCCATATAGACTAAGTGTCAAGTTAATTAGATGAAATATAAGACCCAATTAAGTTTTATTTGTTAACATCTTAGAATCATTCTAGTACTGCCTATTATTTATATTTTTACTGATAGATTGATTTGCAATAACGGTGGACAAGTCAAATTCAGACAATATACAGATTTTCATAACTTTTAGATAAAATCTTTAAAAATATGGTTTTTGAGAAATATTTGACAATGTTTATTAGTGTTTTTAAAGAGCGGCAGGTCATTGAAAGCCATTGTCTCTTTTATTACTCTCTACTTTGAATGATTTGCATTCATCTCATTCAAACTAGTAGCTCATTAAGAATGAGATTCTTGTCCCTTTTTGTATCCCCACAGTACTCTAAATAGAGCTTTGAAAGAGTTGATGCTCAATAAATATTGATTGAATGGACTGGGATAAAAGGCCTCTTATCCAAGCAATTAATAAAGTTTGTCAATTAATAAAAAATCTTAAGTAATTTTTAGTGATTGCAAAATCATTAAAATAAAACATACATGTGTTTCAAACATTGTATTTTAATTGAAAACATGTAAGTGCACACATAGTCCCCCAAGTTTTTAATGCAAACTTGAGATCTGGTTAACAGCACTCCAATGAGGTCCCTTATATTTTATGTACTATTATAAACCACCATAATGCATGTCATACATCACAGTTTCACTTTCTTTAATGTAGAGTGAAAACAAAGATTTCTATGCAGCAAGCCAAATATACAATTAGAATTAGAATTTCCCATAACTTTGTAAGGATTCTTGCTTAAAGCTAATTCAACTACAATTTTTAAACAATTCTCCTTCATCAGGTTTTCCAAATTAAATTTCATTTCATAACAGTACTCTTCCTTTTACATTTCATAGTTCATTGTTTTATTGGATATTTAATTAAAGCCACAATAACTCATGTGTTTATTGTTTGTCTCCCCACTAAAATACAAGCTACATGAAGATACAAAATTTAACCTCTTTCTGGGTGGGGCAATTTCATTCATTCATTTTTGTGTGAAGGTGTAAAATACAAGCAGGACTGGAAATAGACACAACTGACTATATCGTATACATGAAGCTAACAACTGAGGTAGCAGGAGGAACCTTCGAGCTATGAGCCTTTGTTTTACATGAGGCATCAGTCAATACGTAATACAGAGGGAACAGAAATGTCACTTCATCTACCCAACGATTAGAGATTCCTTAGATCATAGAACTTCCCAATATTTATCTCATCATTGCACTAAGGAAAATAATGCTGCTATAAACGTTAGGATATACGATCCAATGCAACAGTCCCAAGAGCTCCAGCTGCACAAACCCTGAGCAGCCCACCCAAGGGCTGAGGGGCTCAAAAACCCATCAGCGAACTTTTGCCACAAGCTGGGAAGCTCAGCCTCTACGCTTCTACTGTTATGGCCCAGAGAGCAGCACCTACACCACCATTGCTTTGCTGTTGATCATTGCTTCATTTATAGCATATGATAGGTTTCATTTATAGCCTGACCAGGTATTCACTCCTTTTGGCTTTCTAGTGTCCTGCTGTCTGACCCTGTCAGGAAATTGGTGTTAGTGTTGCTACATGCTGACGCTCTGGCTGCTACAGAAATGTGAGCCCAGTGGAGGTACTGTCCTGGTTTTCCCTGTGCTCCACTTTCTGTTCATTTCCTTGCTCAGGCACCTGGGCCACAGTGATTCCCTAACATGAGTAGAAGGATGATCCTTTGCTGTCACTCATTCAGGGGTGTCGTAAACAAAATTTCCTGAGCCCTAAATTCTTCAGCTTCTACCTTTTGATTCAACTGCACTTTTTTCTGTGATAAGCCCCCACTTCAGTAGGGTGGTGGTACCCAGACAGCGCCCTGGATCAGGTCTCTCCCCCGCCAGTGACCCAGCACCTGGTGTTGCTCTCAGACACCACTCCCCAACTACCTTTTCATGAAAGCCTGGCCTTGGATAGGGAACACTTAGTCTAACAGATGCATCTCTCTTTCAGTTCTAATAGATTTTTAAAAAAGGAAAAGAGCCCAATCTTTGACTTAATCTAGAAATTAGACAGTATTGACCAGAACTACAATGGTGGTAATGTAAAGATAAGTAGAGAGCTCACAGAAATACGTAGAAGAAAAGTTCAACAGGATTTGAGATTGAGTGGGGGCAGAAGTGTGGAAGCCAGCTTTTGATTTAGCCAACTCTGTTGGATTTGGGTATTTCTAATTGAGATGAGGGGAGAAAAAAAAACAAGAAATACACTTAAAGAACTTGTTGACTCTAACTTAAATTTGGAAAGGCTTCATGAAGTTACCATATGGGTCAGATCTCAGGAGGAGACTTTGCTTCATTTAAGGCATGGACGGAGTTGGCCATTGAAGCCACTCAAGAAAGTTTTATAAATGACATAAAAAGACAGTACTTTGCAGGCACTCCTAAATAACACCAAAATTTAACAAATGGCCAGAAGATATACAAAACAGTCCTAAAAGGAAAAATTAGAAAGGTAATAGGAATGTTAAGGAACCCGAAGGAAAAGAACATTTCTAAGAAAGTGGTACAAAAGGTCCAATACCACTGAAATTGTCCACTGAATTCAACTAGCTTGTCATTGATTATCTTTCAAGAACAGTTAGAGTGGAGTGATTTTTTAAAAAGGCACAGCCTTCGTCTCCTAATTCTAAGACTCATGGGCTATTAAAGATGAAACAGCCTGTATTTGAGAGACTTACAGGAGGGGTGTTCTCACAGTAGGATCAGTCTTCTGTTGGGGCAGCAGAAGAAACATGCAATGAAGAAATAGGACTTTTCTGCCTGCTAGGCTTCCAGAGTCCCTTTCAGCCATCAGCATGCACATATTCTGACAGCTGAGGATTGTTGAGCTGATTTGCTCATGTGCTGAGGACCCTGGTAGGCCTGGAGGTAGCAATGACTTGTACCAGTGTCCTGACTGCAATGGTGGCAGCCTCCCCATCCTTGCCCACCCTGAGTCCCATCTGGGGCCTGCCATTTGACTCCTGCAGTGGGCAGAGACACTGGAGAATGCCAAAATGCCCAAAGGCACAAGAAGGCACCATCATGGAAGTGAGCTGTGCTTCTCAGAGACACGCACATCCCGGGACCAGGCTCAACTGCTACATCCCGAGTGAAGTAAGTGCTGCCTCATGCCAAACACCAGAGAGCAAGGCCCTGCCAGCCAGACAGCTGGTGCTTCTTCCATCGCCATGAGGAGATTTCTGAGCTAGGCTGTCAGTTTAACAAGGAGGAAGAGAGATTCATGAAGCAGCTGCCTCAGCCAAACCCAGCCTCAAACAGATGACCCCTCGCTTACCCATTGACACATGAGAAATGAATTCATGGTGTTATATGGGGCCAGTCTGAGATGTGCAAGTCCCATTCCACAAATGGAAATATTATATGAGTTACTATAAAGACACTATAGGAGCTCAGTTGTGACTTATGTATCAATTCACTCACTTGATATATTTCTCACACATGGAGAGTGCAGGGGAGTGAAAGTTCAATATTGGTCTGTAATTCTAATTTGCACTATACTTAAATACCCACCTAGCATGGCTCTGTCCTAGCTTGAATCTAAATGGATGCAGACCTTTCTTTCATGAATGTGTCCAGAAAACTTGTCAGGCAGAAAAAGAGAACTCTATTCACAGCGCTACTGAGTAGGCTTCTGCAGAAATACAAATCCTATGAAAGGAAGAAGCCACGCAGTGAGTTTATATCAATAGAGAAAAACTATAAAAACCATAATCCTTGGTCATTGAAAGTGAGGGAGAATCTTGAGCACCTGGAGTTTCCATTACTTGAATGTGTTCCATGACCCCTGCACTGTGACTCATGCTTTATACCTATGAAATGAGGAGTTTTAAGTTATTCCAAATACTGGTGAACAAATAACACTGTTTCCCTCACATCCATTTTAAAACATGGTACAAAAATTACAACTTATTTTATAGCTTTTGTGTCCTCAGGCTTTAGTGGTGTTGCCTGGCAGAGCTCAGCCCTGGCTGCTGGCTGAAGTGAGCGGGATAGCTGGGCCCCACTCTCTCCACATGGCTTCTTCCACGCATGACAGCTGGGCCCCGAAAGGGAGCACGCCAAGAGGTGAAGGCAGAAATTGCAGATCTCTTTAAGCCCGCCTCAGCCACTCCACAACACCACTTCTGCAGCATTCTGCTGCTGAAAACAAGTCACAGAGCCAACTTGGAATCAAGGGGGAGGGAACAGAATAACCTCTCAATGGGAAGTGTGACAAAGAGTTCGTGTCCATCTTCACTTGGCCACAATGGCAGACACCTCCAGAGAGTCCTGGAAATACATGAGAGAACTTACATGAGAAAATGGAAGCAAAAGTCAGTGGAACTGGATTATTAGTACTGTTGTAAACTTACCTGTGGCTAGTAAAGCCTGGGAGAATTGAAATAATAGCAAAGCTACTACTAACACACATTTAGAGTCACTTGCTTTATTCAAAATGTTCAAATAAGTATGCATAACATCCCTAGAGCCCATCACATATATCTGTGCTCATCCTCGGCACCGTACTGTCAGCCCAAAACCTGTCAGCAAAGCACCTTACATTTGTTTTTCTTTTCTGACTTTGCAGTTACCTATGGTCTCCATCCATCCTTTCATGCAATACCTGAAGAGAGTGCATTAACTCGACTTCCTGATCAAGTGAGGAAACTACCTTGTGTATGAAATGTGTCCTGGTTCCTCTAGCCTTTCATGGCTAGTGTTTAGAGCTCTCTCTAGGTACGCCACCTTGGGTCACCTAGAGAAAACAAGTGCTCATTCACCTCCTGCTTCCTGCCTTTCCTCCCTTCTCCACCAGTCAAAATTGTGGTTGCATGCAAGAGATAAATAAATAAATAACAAATAACTAACTAACTAAATAAATAAATAAATACAAAAAAACTCTTGCTGACTCAAATACAGGGTCCAGCACAAAAAAAGCCCCCCTTTTTTTGAGCTGACCATCTATACCAAATCTTTTATTACAAAATCATAAGCATGTAATTCTGTAATATAACAATATCAGACTCAAGCACACTGTGTGACATTTTAGCTGAAATATTCAAATTGCTCTCCATCTCGTGTGAGACATTCACATACCCTACCAACCACACTCAAGCAGGCATTACCTCTGCTGGACCCTGTATATTTAAAAATTATTTAAAGCATATGTTGCAGCCCAAAACATCTAAAAAAATGCCCTGAACTTTAGAAAGGTGGGGGGAAAACATGTGTGAGAAAAGACAGGAATGAAAAACGTGAAACAGCAGCCAGGACCTTAGCTGAAGTCATGCCAAAAAGTGAGTCCCGCGTAAACGGAGTGCCAAACTTGGACACTTGATGCCATTCCTGGACAACTGCCAGAGCTGCTCCTGGAAACTTGATTTTGCTGTTGCTGCTGCTACAGCTCATTACTACCAAAATGGAGTCTCTATTGCCTTTGTTTGCTTGAGTCATTAATTACCCATGCAGTCTCATGGTGACTGCATCCAACAGCCCAAGCCTATGTCACATGTTACCATTCTAGCCGGAGGAAAGACGAGGGCACTAAGTATCTGCTCTCCAGATTCTGTACAGGAAAGATATGATCTCGGCCTTCCTTCATGAGTGATGAGGCAGGCAATTCCCAAATATAGGAAAAGGAGGTTGAGATGATTTTCAGGGACAAGAAAACCAAATAATTAATAAAATTCATCTTTTTAACTATGCAATATTCACATACAACCTTTCTCAAATTTTAAAGGTTTAAATATTCTGTTACATAATTAATGCAATAAGTATTACCTATATGCTGAAAACACCTATGCCTTTGTATTAAGGAGGGATGAGGCAAATTTTAATTTTAATCAACATTCTGCTATAAGCCATGAATCCCTTACAACTATAGGTTTGCCATGATCCTATTTCAATGTTCTGCGATATGAGTACTAAACTATAAATTTAACCACCAACAAACTACCTCATAAAGAAAAGTGAAAAAAAAGAAAAGTGAAAAAAGAAAAAAGAAATAAGAAGAGATAAACATGTACATACGCATACATACATACATACACACACACACACACACACACACACACACACACACATACCAAAAGAAGAAGAAAAAGTAGGAAGGAACTACAATCTTGTACCTAGTTTTTTCATAAATCTGCTTTTGCTCTTATGACTCCCTTCCTCTTTCTTCCTTCTCATGATTTATTTCCCAACGGCTAGCTGGTTAGATTTTTCCCAGTGGAGTGACCAACTTCTAATTTGTAACGGGTCCTGCCAAAATAAAAGGAAATCATTTTACAATGTAGTACATTGTGGCAGCCAAGATATCAGGTGGGTTCTATTCATATACTTCCCATCCTTTAATGTATATCACCTATATTATTACCCTTGGCTGTCAAGATCAGTCATTGGAGCCAGCATCATAGTCCTTGTTTTTGATTGATAATTTAACAGCTTGGAGAGTCCAAAATGGCTAGTAAAGTCCTATCATCTGATTCAACATAGAATTCACTGTGTGCCTTGATGGAAACATTTCTCCCTTGAGACAAACCCCTCAACACGGTACAGCATAGTGTTTTAGGCACACAATCAGTTGTCATCAAGACTATGTCATTCCCAATTGTATCAATTAGTGAGTGACAAACACCCTATATTAATTGCTGAGTAAGAGTATGTAATGCATCCTAGAGGCAATATCCTAAGCATGAAACTGTGACCTCATAGTAGCCATGATAATTGTTTAACCATTGTACTATTGCAAGAGGCCAACAGCTACTAGATCATGGAGTATAAGCTAAAATCAATGAATCTGAGTGAATTTCTTGGTCAGGAACAAGATTGTGTGCAAACCTTAGGTTGGTATAAAAGGAAATCAGTATGTATACAGATTGTCAAATGAGTGAAAAGCAAGACAAGCAAATCCCAGTGCAGAATAACAATCTATTCTATACAGTAGAAGCATCTAATAAAATCAACCTTCAACCTGAAGTTTGTAAAATGAACACAATATACTAATATTTAAGTGACTGAAGTACACACAATGTACTAATCAGGTGGTAATTACAGAATAGGCTGCACTAACAAACTCATAAAATATTCATGTATTAAAAGTTTCCTAGTACTTGATATGAACAGTACTCGGCCATAGCAGGCCCTCCAGGCACATACTGTGCAATGTGTCTGTTTTGCCACAATGCCATCTTTCCCTCAACTTGTGTCTTACACCTCAGGAAGAGTTGTTAGGGAAGCTGGGTCTAGCGTGATTGAAGTGCGCTGTTGCAGCGTGATGACAGACTTCAGGGTTTGCTTTGAAGGGAAATGGAAAAGAAGAAATCTCCCCATTGGCCCATGTGGTCTGGACAGAGAAATGGCATGAGCTGAGCAGCTACATTGCTTTCTGGGCCATGGCTAATAGTTTGCTGGTGAAATTAAGGAAATTAAAGGTAAAATTATAAAAGAAGTATAATGTATAATGAATATGTGTCTGGATATAAAACTGTTTGATTCTCTTATGAAAGCTCATCAGAAGGCCCATTATGGAGAACTATTGATAAGCATCTGGAAAATACTGTAACCAAACGTAGGTCTGGCTGCCTGCTGCTTCAAAAGCCAGTACTCAAGTGGCAGGTGCTGATACAGGAAAATGGTTTTACTCAGGTGCCAGGAACCTGGAAGATGGGAATTCTCCTCTCAAAGCCCATGTTAGCATCTCAGGTGTCCTGGTCAGTTCATAAAGGGGAATGAAGGGGTTTCTGGTGATAAGCAGTTTCTCAGATCTGCTTTGGTTGCTCAGATCTGGTTTGGTTTCTCAGATCTGCTTTGGTTGCTGTCCCCTATGTCCTTCATCATGTAGTTTCATTGCTCCATCCACAGTTTTACCGCTGATATCTGGGAACAGGAGGTGCAGGCGGTGTTTCTGCTGGTTCTGATAGGAGTCGCTGATGCTTGCCCAGTTTCTCAGGGTCAGGGCCATTCCTTGGTGGAGCAGGAGCTGCAACAGTGACATCTACAAACTATTAGCCATGGTCCAGAAAGCAATGTAGCTGCTCAGTTCAGGCCATTTCTCTGTCCAGACCACATGGGCCAATGGGGAGATTCCCTCTGTTCCATTTCCCATCAAAGCAAACCCTGAAGTCAGTCATCACGCTGCAACAGTGCACTTCCAATCATGCTAGACCCAGCTTCCCTAACAACTCTTCCTGAGGTGTAAGACACAAGTTGAGGGAAAGGTGGCATTGTGGCAAAACAGACACATTGCACAGTATGTGCCTGGAGGGCCTGCTATGTCCTAGTACTGTTCATACCAAGTTCACAAGTCCTTTATTTTTTTGATATTTGCCCTTCCTCTTTGACAGGCCTGTGTCTTTTCAAGGTGAAAACAGAATTCATCTGATAGTCTCTGCTTTTGGGGTAGAGTAAAAAAGTTTAGCCAGACCTAGAGGTGCATACCAGGAGCTAGCTGCTCTATTGCCTTTCTCCCGTTTAAGAGATCACATCTGGAAACTGCAGCTGCTATAGGAGCAACCGTCCAATTTAGCTTCCAGCAATGCACTAGCATACTCAAAGCTCATAGCCAACCTCTGTAAGTAATAGGAAAGCTGGCAGATTAAAAGGAAATGTGAAAAACCCATTACCCTGTTTCTTTCAAGACCAAAAATGTCACTGATATTCGTATTTCCCTTCCGTGTACTATTTATTAGGGAGAGGGAACTTCGGAGGTTTCCACTTAGTCCTTTTTATCATAATAGTTCTTACTCTCTAGGGCAGGAAATAAAAGAGTAGATTCTGCCAATATATATGAAACACATAGACACAGCTAACAGTGTGGTGATAGCCAGAAGGAAAGGCGGATGGGAAGAAGGTGGGGTGGGCAAAGGGGGAATGGAAAGGGGAACAGAAGGAGACTTTGTGTGGGGGGACGGGTGAGCAATGCAGTGTGCAGACGAAGTTTTATTGAGTTGTACACTTAAAACCTGTATGGTTTTGTGAACCAATATCACTCCAATAAATTCAATTTAGAAAAAAAAAAGATGAACTAAGTCAGACTTCCATTTGCCATTCTTGGAAATTTTCCATTTATACAAATCAAATGAGAACTATGTAGACTTCACATCCACTTTAGTCCTAAAACACATGGTTAATCTGGCAATACCAAAAATCCCAATTGGACCAATATTGTGATCATTGGGCAGGACCTGCAAGCTATTACAGTCACAGAGCCCTCCTTTGATCCTGGTAATTAGGTATTGCTAGTTGGCAAATGCTACCCAGTTTAGAGAGAGCAGCTTCAAGAGTGATTTTCAAGAATGCCAGTCACCCAAAGCCTTGGTAAAGAAGTATAATCTGGAACTCCTTAGTGGACATAATTTGGGGATGGGTGAACAGGTTATGCATAATGAATCCACTTCAACATCCCCACCAGTCATTGAATTTCTCTTTCTGTATTAATTCTCAGATTAGAATCACCTAAAGATCTTTTTTTTTGTAAGTATCAATACCTGGACCCTACCCCTGGATAATCAATGTGATTGGTCTGGGTTGGCATGAGGCACTGTTATTTTCCAAACATTCTAGAGGATTCTAATGTAGAGCCAGAATAGAGAACCACAGCTAGCATTTCCCTGTGGGTCTGTGACCTGCAAAAACTCTGGATAATTAAGTTCCATAATGATCAGTATCCTTAATTCAAGAAACAGACTCCAACTCTGATTTAAGGAAAGATATAGAGTCAAATGATGTTGAGTAGGTCACAGAATTGCCAGGAACACTGCAGAACCTGGCTTGGAAAAAGGCACAAATAATGAGGGCAGGCGTCAGTTAGAATTAGAGTAAAATCCTGCAACAGAACAAGTCTGGTGAGCACACCACAGCTGCCCTGCTCCAGCTGGCCAAGAGTGCTAGGGGCTGCTGCTTCACACTGCCATGCAGCTGTGACCACTGGTCTCCCCCTTGGATTTTCCAAGGCCCTGATTCTTTATATCACTAAATCGTGATCCCTCATATGAAGAGGCTGTGACTAATTAAACCTAGGTCATGGGTTGACCCCTAGTTGCCAAGAGAGCTGAGAGAGGGAATATCTACCCTTTCCAACTTCTTATTGGGAGGTAGTCTCTGAGTCTCACCAGAACTCAAAGTAAAATACTCCAAAAAAACAAAAAGAGGGCTCAGCACTAGGTAGTCACAAACTAACAGATGTTTCCCATATCATGTCCTGACAATATACTGAATCACATCAGTTATAATATAAAGCACCATAGAGAAAGAAAAACTCCATGAGTAAGAAATCTTAAAATGGATGACTTTACACATTTAATGTTAATCAGCATGGTTAGAAATCTTTCTAAAATGTATTACACATTGTCTTACACCTACAGAAGACACAAAACAAATCTTAAACTTGTGTTACTTGAGTCATTAGGAACAGTAATTAGTGTCTCAGGGTATGAAACCATAGTTACTGAGAGATGTTTATAGCTTTCTCTTATTCCATCAGAATGTCCCAGAATACTTGAGTTCTAAAGCCCTGTGCTCTACACATTTTGGCCCCTTGCCTTCCAGGCTCTTCCATTGTGTCTCTTTTTAGCCATTTAGCTCTCTTCTAATTTTTTCTTCCTAATTTGCTGTAGGCTGGAAAAACAAGCAACCCTGAGAATTGGCCTACACTAAGTTCAAGGTGTCTGAGCCTTCAGTATTTTCTGTGGTTGAAATACAAAACTCACTTGACTGCTGTTTTGAATGCTCGGGGAGCAGCTGTGCTTACTTCAGGGTTTCCCAGGTATCCTAGTGACGTGGGCAAATATGACCTCCAGATGCAGGAAAAAGAAGAAAGGAAAATTTTCATTCATAGGGGTCTATGAGAGGTACTAGAAAGGCATTAACTCATTGGACCTTCACAACAATTCTTTGGGGCTGGGTTTTACAGAAAGAGAAAGCCAAGGCTCTGAGGTATTGCAATAGATTAAGACATGATGTCTCATCTCCTACTTGTTGAATTTTTGCTGGACTTTGTGTCTCCCTGGGTGAAAAGAACACGACAGACCAGATGTTTTGGAACTTCTAAGGCTAAGCCACACAAAGCCTTGAGGCTTTTGCATGGGCCCTCTGCAATGCTCACTCTGGGAAAAGCCAGCTTCCCTATAAGGACTTCAGCTCTCCTGAGACTGACATGCTGGAGCTGTCAGCCACAGGCATTAGCATGGTGTTCCACAGCCTTGCCAGAGCCCGGCCTTTCAGCCATCTCCGATATGGTGCCAGACATACGTGACAAGTCACGTTGTGCACCCCCATAGTCACCCATCCGCCACCTGCACACCACCAAGGGACAGCCAACACCACATGGAGCTGAAGAAGCACCAGCTGTGCCCACTCGAATTCCTGAGCCACAAAATCACAAGATATAATAAAATGGCTGTTGTTTTAAGCCACTTGGTTCCTGTGCAGTGTTTTGCACAACAACAGATAACCAAAAAAGACATTAAATAAACTGATTGGTTCCTTGAGACAACTTGTGCTCAAATAAGGAGTCCAATTCAGATTGTTTTAACAGCGCGGCCTATAATTTCATAGCGCCTCCAGTGAGAGTCTAGGATATTTATATTTTAAAACCATTTTTACATTAACAAAATATCATGTTTAATACACGATTTTTGTATAAAAGATTATAGCTTAAAAATATTTCACTTTCTCATAATTTACTTAATTCTTACAACCATTTGTTAAAATAAATACTATTATTTCTATTTTATAAAAGAAGAGGCTACAAATAAAACCGCATCTCCAATCTAGGTTCTCTGACTCCAAAATGTACACTCTCACATTAAATTAAAATACTGTTTTATCTATTCTATGCTTAGTCCTTTATAATATAATTTTTACAGACAAAATAATCTATCTTAAGTTTTGATCTCAGTGGAAGGCACTATGTTATTGCTATCTTCATGCCAAAATAAAACTTTAGGATGAGAAAGCAGAAAGTCATGCCAAAGAAATTAATATTGCTACTTTCAGTTCCAATTCATATTTTAAGTTTTATAGTATCCCATTTACCACAGTTGCTCCTGCCTGCACTACATCGTTCCATCTTGCTACTCAGCAGAGAAATCCAGAAAGCATTTCTATCAGCAAAATGTTCATTAGCCTCCTCAAATGTTAAAGTGATGTAGCTGATGGCAGTGGGCATTGATATTAACATTAAGTTCTATCCTTTAAATTAAAACATTATGTGTCTCTTCCTGGTAATTCTTTTAGACCCTGGCTCTTCTCTCATGTTCATTTTTATGGCTGGTCCTACTTGTCTAAAAACTATGAAATCAATAAATGAGCTAGACAATTCTAAAGAGCAATAGGTATTTCTTTAGAGTTTCACAATCTACCTCTCACTGTTTTCAGTGAGGTTTTTTTTCAGTGATTTTTTTAAAAGTTAAAGTTATCATTAATTGCTTTAACACTTTTTCAAAACTGAGCAAAAGAATATATTTTAAATAAACCAGAATAAAAATAGGCTTTCATTTATACTTTTTTTCATACAGATGATGGATGGAATAGATGTTGCCTATTTCCTCCTCAAATCCTGTCTCATGATATTGATGTAATGAACAAGTATATTTAGTCTCCTTGTACAGTTAAAATCCAGCCAAAATTTACAAATGCACAGTGTGCAGTCCTCAGTAGTAACTGACTGTGCAGACAGGTATAGAAAATATTTAAGTAAAGGCACATAAGGCAGAATTCTTAAATGGTAAAAGGAAGTGTTGGGCCTTATTTGTGTGAGTGACAAGGATGAAAACCCAGAAGTTGTACAGAAAAATCTCCCTAAAAGTGAAATTCTACCCAAAAGGAGTAGATGAGGGAAATGAGGGCAGATATAAAATACATGTTGCAAAGCAGCTGTCTCCCGTGATGTTGAGCTTATACTCAAACATCTTTTTAACCTGCCAAGGTCCACTAAATTATGTAACATTCGTTAGTATCAATTCTTAGACCTGAGTAATCAACAGTTAGTCATCTTTAATTGTAAATTTTCTCTTTTAATTTTCCTTTTTTTATATTTATTAAGTTTTGGACCACTTTGTCTGCCTCAGTTCAATATATACTTTTCAAAACCAATTTGGACCATAACCAAGCAAATATAGATTTCGTAATGGAAACCAAATGTGGATTTCTTTCATTTTTCAAAGTGCTACACAGTAATTTCATTAATGCTCCTTACCATGGATGAGAAACTTTCTTATATACTCACAAGTACAGGCATCAGCCTAAAAAAAATTGTGGTAAATGGGAATAGATGTGTTGAAAATGTAGCTACTGGCTTCACAGATGTTTCTGTTTTTCAGTATTGACATATTTTCAATTGTTATGATGTTTTGAAATGCAGGTCAGACATCTCTTTTTCACAATAAAATATTCAAATATCTACCTTCCAGCTCCTTGGATATTAAAAAAATCACTACATATTTAGTACTTTAAAAATCTTAAAATGACTAAAGGATAGGAATAGAAAAATAGAAACATAAATGGAAGACTAACACATCATAGAGGTTCTAATTAAGAAAAACAAGCACTGTTAAAACTAGAATAAAAACTGTATTGTTTTAAACCCACACTATATGCATAACTCCACCTCTGGTCCAGTGCCTGAATTCACTACTCAATAAACCTAGATCTTAAACACTTACAAACTTGCCTAAAGTTAGTAAAAAACCTTAAAAACACTATCTCTATGTAAAATGGAATTCCCAAGACAGACGGAGTTTCTCAAATGCAGTGTCTAGGTACTGCCACAGATAATTCATATGTACACATACTCAGCAAGCTTTGGCAAAATCTTAATAAAGTCCTGGCTGACTCTTTTCAGTTTGTTTCATTTTACTTTTTTGTGCTTATCAACGCAATACATGCACAAGATTAAAACGTTATGTGATTTATATCCTCTCCTACCCAACCAACTCCATTCCTCCAGAGAATCAACACATTCAAACTGTTTCTATGATCAGTTTTCCAGGTATCCTTGTACTTTTAAATAATATACTAAATAATATTTATTTATCAACATTAAGCATTGTATATTCAATTCCTACTATACAGTAAGATGTTTTAGCTCTTTTACAAGCCAAACACCCACCATCTGCTCCCTTCCATGCCCTATGTGAATCTTCTGGTACAGTTATATTTCTGCTTTTAGTTTCTTTATTATATTTATGTTCCTCTCGTATGTACTCTACCAACCACACATAAGCTATTATCACTCTATTTTTATGATGATATTAACACTTCTGTCCATTCCTTCACTTCTGTTTGCCTTCCACCTTCAACTCTTATTAAGTCTGCCTTTCCTTTCTAGACTTTTAAGGTTGATAATTAATGTGTCTTTCCACATTTTATCTATAGTTTATTCAATATCTTACACATGAAAAAACAGCCTTTACATTATTCAGACTACATAAATATTTTTCACTTAAATTTACATAGGATTTTATTATTAGAGCCCTTTCCTGTACAACTAAATTTTTTTAACTCTTCCTAGAATTTCTAATTGTGGTTACTGTTTCTTTTATACTCTGCCTTTCTCATATCCTTAGGTTTATCCACATTCTACCAAATACCAGGACTAGGCAAAACATATTTTTATTTGGCTATCTTCTGGAGCCCCCCATTCTCCTGTTCTAATCAGGTAAAACTTATTCTAATCTTGCTTCACTGACATCATCTGGGCATTTCATGCCATTGCTCTTCAGAGTTGGATCTGAATTAAAGTTTTGGGTCTTATGTATCCTTTCATAGTTTACTCCCTCACTTTATTTGAGCACATCCCCAAGTAACTATCAAAGAAATGGTGTGGAGAAGTAAGTTTTCTGAATTGCATGAGATATATGTACATTTGCTTAACAGTTTGATGAGAAAAGATGTTTTGGTTGATGTTTCTAAGTTTGATCCATAGTAGTAGCTATGTGACCACAGGCAAGTTACCTGACATTTTTGAGCTGATGATTCTTCAGTTATGGGAAATATTATCTATCTCTCTAGGCTCTTTGAGAATAAAATGCCACAATATTCACAAGGTTCCTGACACATAGAAAGGACATAATAAATGCAGCAAAGTAGCATGGAGCAAGTAATGTATGGTGAAGGAGAGTGAAAAAGCATGATGATTTTTTGGTATGAATAAGATACTCTCATCTTTGAGAAATTCATTATCAGAAAAGAATACCCCTAGTGCAATTCTGCCCTGCATGTCTGTTCTGCAAAACAGACGTTGTTTATCTCTGTCTGCCTTCTTTCCCACCTAAGTGTGTGCTACCACCCCATAGAAAGTTCGATGCACATGGATATGAGCCTTCTGAGGCCCCAGAACTATCTTTTCAGATGTGAACTCAAAGCTGATAAAGATTATCACTTTAAGGTGGATAATGATGGAAATGAGCGCCAATTATGTTTACAAACAGTTTAGGAGCTGGTAAAGAGGATGAATTGTACATTGTTGAAGCAGAGGCAATGAATTATGAAGGCAGTCCAATTAAAGTAACACTGGCAACTTTGAAAATGTCTGTACAGCCAATGGCTGTCACTGGTGCCTTTGAAATAATTCCACCTGTGGTCTTATGGTTGAAGTGTAGTTCAGGGCCTGTACATATTACTGGACAGTGCTTAGTAGCTGCAGAGGAAGATGCAGAGTCAGGAGATGAAGAGGAGGAGGATGTGAAACTCCTAAGTATGTCTGGGAAGAGTTCTGCCCTGGGAAGTGGTAGCAAGTTTCACAGAAAAAAAGTAAAATGTGCTGCTGATGAAGATGATGATGAGAGCAATGATGATAATAAAGATGAAGATGATGATGATGATTTTGAGGATGAAGAAGCTGAAGAAAAACTCCAGTAAAGAAATCTACATGAGATACTCCAGCCAAAAATGCACAAACATCATACCAGAATTGAAAAAACTCAAAACCGTCAACACCAAGATCAAAAGGTCAACAATCCTTCAAAAAACAGGAAAAAAAAACTCCTCATACAACAAAAGGACCTCGTTCTACAGAAGACCTTAAAGCCGAAATGCAAGCAAGTATAGAAAAAGGTGGTTCACTTCCCAAAGTAGAAGTCAAATTCAACAATTTTGTGAACAACTGCTTCCAGATGACTGAGCAGGAAGCTATTCAAGATCTCTGGCACTGGAGGAAGTCTCTTTAAGAAAATAGTTTAAACAGTTTGTTAAAATTTTCTGTCTTATTTCACTTCTGTAACAGTTGATATCTGGCTGTCCTTTTTATAATGCAGAGTGAGAACTTTCCCTACAGTGTCTGATAAATGTTGCCCAGGTTCCATTGCCAATAATGTGTTGTCCAAAATGCCTGTTTAGTTTTTAAAGATGGAACTCTACCCTTTGCTTGGTTTTAAGTATGTACAGAGTGTTATAATAGGACATAGTAGTGGTGGTGGTCAGACAAATGGAAATGGTAGGGAGACAAAAATATACATGTTAAATAAATCCAGTATTTTAATAAAGTAACAAAAAAGAATATTGACTGTTAAAAAAAATAAGCAGAAATATAATAAATTCTAGCTAACAACAGAAAGGTTATTAATAATTCAAAAGTCTTCAAACTATTTCAATCATAATAAGACTACTGAATACTTATTATTTAATAGATTTAATATTCTAGAAGCTATGTACATATAAATTCATTTAATACTCACAACCACTCTGCAAGGTACATATTACTTCCATTATACAACTGAGGAATTCTAGGCACAGAAAGCCTAAACCACTTATCCAGAGAGAGAGAGACAACAGGAAAATGGCAAGGGCAGGATTAGAAACCCAATAGTCTGACTCCAGAGTCCATGCTCCTACTTACACACTGCACTGGGAGAACTTTTAACTCTCTCCACCTTTTGCATAACATGTGGCAAAGTGCATTCGTGGTGAGAGTGGGGAAAAGGGGGAAGATGAACATAGATGATTGAAATGAAGGCAGACACAGGGATCGTGTACAGATGATCATGGGCACAAAACAAAAGAGGGCCTGTCAGCAGGCAGAGGGTGAGAGTGACCAATGTGGGAGGGCGTGGTCAGTAGCACTCATCATCATCATCATCATCATCACAGCTGCTGTTGATTAAGTACCTTGTACCATTTTTCCATTTGTTCTTACCTACAAACAATAGTCCTCATCTTAAAAAAAATTTGATAAACTCCAACACCCATTTATGATAAAAACACTCAGCAAAGTGGGAATAGAGAAAACATACCTCAACATAATAAAGGCCATATTCAAGAAACCTACAGCCAACATCATACACAATGGGCAAAAACTAAAAGCTTACCCACTAAGATCAAAAACAAGACAAGGGTGTCCGCCTTCATCACTCAACACAGTACTAGAAGTTCTAGCCACAGTTATCAGACAAGAAAAAGAAATAAAAAGCATCCAAATTGGAAAGGAGGAAGTAAAACTGTCATTATTCACAGACCACATGATACATAGTATACATAGAAATACATAGATACATAGATACATAGATACACAGTATACATAGAAAACTCTATAGTCCCCAACAAAAAACTACTCGACCTAATACCTGAATTTGGCAAAATAGAGGGATACAAAGTCCATATTCAGAAATCAAGGGCATTTCTGTATTTGAAATATACAGAATACTAACTAATGAAATATCAGTAACAGAAACTAGGGGGAAAATCCCATTTACTGCAGCAACAAGAAAAATTAAGTACCTAGGGATGAACTTAACCATAGAGGTAAAAGATCTATAGTCAGAAAACTACACAACAGTGAAGAAAGAAATTAAGAAAGATAAAATAAATGGAAGCATATACTGTGTTCAGTATATATGCTTCCTACCCATGGGTAGGAAGAATTAACATTCTTAAAATGTCCATACTACCCAAATCAATCTATAAATTCAACACAATCCCTATTAACGTACCAATGGCATATTTTACAGATCTAGAACAAATATTTCAAAAACTTACATGAAACAGAAAGACCCAGAATACCTCAGTAATCTTGAGAAAGAAGAACAAAGCAGGAGGGATCACAATACCTCATATCAAACTATACTACAAGGCCACAGTAATCAAAACAGGCTGGTTTTTATTAAAAACTGGAATAAGAACAGACACATAGATCAATGGATGAGAATACAGAGCCCAGAAATAAACTCATGTCCCTATGATCGATTTGTATTTGACAAAGGGAGAAGGAGCATAAAATGGAATAAAAATAGCCTCTGTAATACATGGTGTTGGGAAAAAAGGACTGGCACATACAAAAAATGAAACTAGACCACTAACTTTCACCACACACCAGAATAAACTCAAAATGGATAAAAGACTTAATTATGAGTCATGACACCATAAAAGTCCCAGAGGAAAACATGGGCAGTAAAATTTTAGATATTCCACACAGCAATATTTTCAACAATATGTCTCCTAGAGCAAGGGAAATAAAGGAAAAAATAAACAAATGGGATTACATTAAATTAAAAACCTTCCGCACAGCTAAAGAAACCATCATCAAAATGAAAGGTAACCAACCATATGGGATAATATATTTGCCAATGATACTTCAGACAAGGGTTTGATCACCAAAATATATAAAGAACTCATACAATTCAATACAAATAAGACAAACAATCCAACTAAAAAATGGGCAAAGGACCTAAATAGACACTTTTCCAAGGAGGACATAAAGATTACCCATAGACATATGAAAAGATGCTCAACATCACTAACCATCAGAGAGATGCAAATTAAAACCACAATGAGATTTCACCTCACACCAGTCAGATGGTGATCATTTACAAATCAGTTAAGTGCTGAAGAGGATGCAGAGAAAAGGGAACCCTACTGCACCGTTAGTGAGAATGAAGACTGGTGAAGCCACTATGGAAAACAGTATGGCATTTCCTCAAAAAACTAAAAATGGAACTGCCTTTTGATCCAGAAATTTCACTGCTGGGAATATACCCTAAGAATCCCAAAACACCAATTCAAAAGAACTTTTCTTCCCCTATGTTCATAGCAGCATTATTTATAATAGTCAAGTGCTGGAAACAGACTAAGTGCCCATCAGTACATGAGTGGGTCAAAAAACTATGGCACATTTACACAATGGAATACTATGCAGCAGAAAGAAAGAAGGAACTCCTACCTTTCATGACAGCATGGATGAAACTGGAGAATATTATGCTAAGTGAAATAAGCCAGGCAGTGAAAGACAAATACCATATGATCTCACCTATAAGAGGGACCTAATGAACCAGACAATCAAATGAGCAAAATAGAACCAGAGGCATGGAAACACGGAGCAGACTGAAAGTGACAGAGGGAAAGGGAGAGGGGAATAAGGGTGGAAAGAAGCAGAAAGGACTAGTCAAGGAACACAAATGAATGAACAATGGGCATGGACAACAGAGTGGTGACTGACTGAGGAAGCAGTGGGTGGGCTGGGTGGAGGAGGGCAAAGGGGGAAAATGGGGACAACTGCAATAGAATAATAATGAAATGTTTTTTAAATAATAATGAAAGTGAGCCCTGACTTGTGTGGTTCAGTTGACTGGGTGTTGTCCCACAAAGTGAAAGGTCATCGGTTCAATTCCCAGTCAGGGCATACACCTTGGTTGCGGGTCAGACCCCATCGGGGCTCCTATGAGAGGAGAGCAATTGATGTTTTTCATATCAATATTTCTCTCCCTCTCTTTCTCCTCCCTTCCCCTCTCTCTAAAAAATAAATAAAATCTTTAAAAATAATAATAATAATGAAACTGAGATCCAAGGAAGTTAATTACCTTGCCCAAGTTTCCACATGTAATAATTGGTCAGACGAAAGACCAAGACAAATGTGCTTGACTTTATAGTTTGGGTTATGATCCTAGTGGCTTGTATGGTAAACATAAGAAGAGGGATTTCTTGGAATTTGTTTTGAAACTTGTGGAGCAATCCTTCTAATTTATTCTTTTTCTAGAATTTCTGTACTGCAATATTCTCTGCCTAAAACCACAGACATGAATATCGTGGGTTTTCAGAGCTTGGCAAGGCATAACATACTATAACTTTCAGCCCATCTTCTTGGAAGTGATGTGAACCCAGAAAACGTGAGCATAGAGAGAAGAGCATGTTTCCAATCCTGTGGCTGGGAACTATGTGGTTACAACCAGAGAATGAATTCCCTGCCTTCTTTGAGTAGATAGATGGTAAATGTCTTAGTCTGTTTAAGACACCATAATAAATTCCACAGACTGGGTCACTTAGAAATAGCAGAAATGCATTTCTCATAGTACTAGGGGCCGGGAAGTCCAAGAGCAAGGCGCTGTCAAGTCTGGCCTCTGATGAAAGCCAGATTCCTAGTTGATAAACAGCCATCTTTTTGGTGTGTCTTTATGAGTATGTGATGAGAAGGATAAGGGAGTTCTTCAGGGTCTCCTTAATAAGGGCAGCAATCCCATTCATAAAAGCTCTGCCCTCATCACCAAATTATCACCCCCAATGCCCCACCTTCAAATACTATTGCACTGGGGATCAGGTTTCAACATAGGAATTTTGGAACAACTCAAACATTCAATCTATGACAGTAGAAGTTGTCATTTGAATTGGAAGCCACTATGAATATCAGTTCACAAACTCATATAGGCAAGAAAGACTTCTTAATGTTTCAAATTCAACCAATCTGGTGCCCACTTCTCCTTGGGGTTCCATCTAAGTTTAAGGAACTGGTTCAGGAACATTCCATCAGCATCATACCTCTACATATCAGAGGTGGCCCAGGCACAGACATCCTCCATCACATCTTGTCCCCAGTCCTTGGTCCCTGCAGATGCTTAAACTCTCTATTCTTTCTGTAAGGCTCAAGTCTCTCTCCTCCTCTTCTCCCCCCCTGCAATCAACAGTATTTTTCATCTAGACTTTTAATAGTAATTCCTCCTGTGAATCATCATGGAGATGTTCATATCCTTGCCTTGGCCAGGAGTAGATTAATTTTTCTCTACATTCTTTTCTTTCCTTAGGCAATAAACATAGAAACTCTAATAATGGGTGTAGAAGAAACAAAAAAAAGAAGGAAATTTCACAGGAAATTATGAATAGTATTTCAAAAAGTACATCCTACCACAAGTTAGGCATCTTCTTTTCTTCCTCAAGTACTTGAAACAATTAGTCAAATGAAAATTTTTTAACTTTTTAAAAGCACATTTATGT